AGAAGGTATAAGAGTGTTAAGAGTGTGTACTTCAAACATGATAGTACACACATACCACAAACTAATGGTGCACTGCTGCTCTCTAGAGACAACAATGATAAAAACTCTCAAATTTACTCCAACAATTTCTCACACATTTTTTTCCACCTGAGCTATATTTCAGAAAATTTCACAATTTTCTAAACCGGTCCTCCTCTTCATGTATTTATCATTATCCGAATTCTGTACTTGGTGATTACGTGAGTAATTATTGAGACCATTTACTTGGGTTTAATGAATGGTTACTTACTTATTCTTGTATTTATAGAATTACAGATATATATGCTTGGATTTTCAATAAAAGTAATACTCCGTACTACGTAATAAATTGAGTCTTGTGCACATATATAAAGGTAAACAAATCCACAATGTTCTGCCTTATTCATAATTTAATCATTGTTTGATTCATAATCAACATTATCTTCAATTTACTCCATGTCTACACAGAGAAAATTTAAACTTTCATGAACCATCAAAGCTATGGAAGTATATTTATTGACTTGACAAGCTTTGGTTCTTTCTAATCTTAGAAGTACCCAATTTTCACAATCAAATTTAACTATGATTTAGTTAATCGCCGAGTTGCAAAAATGGAAGAGTGACAATTGTTTTTTTGGACCAGACATATTAGGTAGACAACGCAATAAGGGTGGAGTGCTAGATAGTAGCATTTGACAGTAGCAACTGCAATCGAAGACTATGCAGGTACTAACAGTGGTTCTACTGATAAGCTTAATGTTACTTCATAGAGCTGATACTGTCTTTACTTTTGTAGAAAATATTGAGTGACATTTCTTTTTTTCATTTAGTTGTATAACACATTTGTAATTATCCATTTTTACAACAAGGAATCACAATAAATACGATATTAGGTTGAAGGAAAGCAAGTTTTTGGAAATGTGTTGTCATATTATATAAAGACTTCTTGACACGCCCTCTTACACTCAACATTTTCTATTTTTATTTTGAATTCCCTGATTTGCAATGGGTTGCACTGTTTGTCATAAATTTGCTACTTTAGGCTCAAACTACCATTTGAACCTTTTTAGCACACAAAAATGCATCATCATGGATCATATATTATAGAGCAAGTGACTTACATCATGGGTGGAGACGGCATAAAGAGTATAGAGGACGAGCATGGGCAACTGATTCTCGAGGACGAGCATGTCTCGCCGAAGATGTGGGATGAGGTACAGCCTCCCGTGGTCGCTAAACACGGGATCCCAAGGGGCGTAGTCGTCCTTCCCAAGGCTATAGTAAGCCGAAATTGCTGCTGTACGTAATATCTCCAGCATGAAACACCCGTCCTGAACCATAAGCCGCATGAAATCGGCATCTTTCTGCCACCACTGGACAGTTTCTTGATCATCATCATCACTGGCTCCGTAACGACCTGGGCAGTCATAGGCGTTTTTGAGATCTTGCACTAGCGGGGTGAGAGAGTGGAGGTATTGCTCCAACGGTTTTCCCGATCTCCTGAGGAAGTGAACCAATGCCCGGTGTTTGTGTTCCTCCATCACCCTCAAATGGTCCTCCCCATGATGGTAAGGGCCTAAAGACACAACAAGTGGCTTGTATGCTTTCTTGTTCACTTCAGTGAAGGCTTGGGGGATTCTGTATATGCACCGCTTCTTCCACCGCCCCTCTTCCTCATCCTTGCCTGTGTCATTATTACTATTAGTGGCGGCGTTGTCCTCTGCCCGTCGTCTGACCGATTCTTCGTTCACCTTTATCACCCAGTCTCTCCACTTGCTATTTTCAGTTGCCATGTATTACTTTGATTTGATTGATTAGGAAAACAGGCATATCTGTGTCTATATGTACATATGGTATGTGTGGTCTTTATATTTAATGTGTGTGTGTGAAGGAAAGTAGCTAGGAAGTGATTCCTTACGTAATTGTGAAATGATTATCATCGTGGCCTGCTGACCAGCATGCAGCCTGCAGGTTTTAATATGAAAAAGGTGGACGATTGCTCAAGATATCATGCATGTGTACATTGTACTTGATCAATTTATTCCTTCATCTAAATTCCGTATTATATATCTGGAATTAGAACTTAGCTTGGAGTAAGAAAGTGATTTAAACAGTTCTGATAGTCGGCCAGCAAGTTTATAAATTCTGTATTAATAACAAGAAGCCTTATTCACAAAAGATTTTGGATCCTTAAGTTGTTTAACATGAATGAATCCATGATATCGAAGTCATAAAAGAAAGATAAGAAAAATAAAAAGATAAGACAAGATAAAAGGATTAGGTAAAGATAAAGATAAATACAAGATAAAAGAATATAAGAAAAATAAAAGATAAAATAACATAATAACATAAGATAAGATATAGGGAAAATCGATATATGGTCTCTCAGTTATCCACGAAATTAAAATCTCAGACTTGTATTTCTGAGATTGTAAATGTCACCCCTCAATTGTCTAAATTGTTGTAAATGGGTCCTTTAAATAGTGAAATGTACTCTCGTCCACATTGTATATTTCACCCCTCAAAAGGACTACATTTGCGGCATTTTGGACAACTGAGAGGTGACATTTACAATCTCAGAAATACAGGTCTGAGATTTTTATTTTGTGGATAACTGAGGGACCATATATGCGATTTTCCCTAAGATATATAATAGAAAAGAGAGAGAAAAGAGATGAATCCTCCACACGAATTTTCACATTCGAGATTTTTTTAATAAGTCATACTCTCATCTAACCAAAAAGAAACATATGAGTTCTCACTCTTCTAATTCACGTCTGTTTGGATCTTCATCTGCCTCTTCTCCTCGCCTCTTCTCCCTACCTCTCAATTCGTCTGGTGTATCACTCGATTTTGTATATATACATGATCAAACGACTTCAATCGAGTTTTCTGCATCTTATTTTCCATAAGTGCTACTTCAACCTTTTGTCTAATTATTTCATTCATATGGTTGTGTGTTTTGGTATGGATGTTTTTACTTGGACTGTAATTTGTCCCAAACCATATCAGACCAGATCAGATCAGACTTGGGTAGTCATAAAAATAAAAAGAAACCAGACCAGACCAGACCAACAAATTATACTCCAAGTAAAAACATCCAATGTCCACATATTCTACGCAAAATACTCATTTTTGTCACTCACCTTTTGATTATGACATTGTTTCACCGTCCAACACACTCTACGAGTTTAATTACATGTGTTACATTATTTAATTATATAGAAGATGACCCTAAAAAGGATGACATTCCATCCCTGAGGGCCCTCTAGAACCGACCAGACAATTATTTGGGAGGATATAAATTGAGCTTTGATAAAAAGAGAGTAAGGTTTAATTCAAGTCATTGTTTGGAGTGGAGCTTGGAACCTCTCCCGATGACCCTAAGGGCCTGTTTGGATGGAGTGTTTGGAAGTGTTAGTAATGGAAGTGTTAGACATAATTTTACCTTGTTTGGGAGAGTCAAATGAATGAAGTGTTAATAATGGAAGTGTTAATAATTTTACCTTGAGGCAAAAGAAACGAGTAAAGAGAAACGATGAAAAAACAAACCATCAGACCCGTGGGAAAGACATTCGAAGTAAAATGTCGAAGCATTTTATGTTTTTCGGGTAAATGAGAAAGATAATAATTGTCCAACACCTCAAAACACTCCAAATCGGGGTGTTAAAAAAATGGACAATTGAGGTATTGGGAAGGTTATTATTAAACTTCCTAACCATTACTAACACTTCTTAACACCTCTGGATTTTTCTCCCAAACAAGTGTTAGCATCAACACTTACTAACACTTCCATTACTAACACTCCTCAACACTCAATCCAAACAGGCCGTAAATAGGGGTAAAACACTTCTAAAAACTGAAAAGGCAAAACTAGCTGGTAATGCTTGGGAGAGTAGGAGTTCTGCCTTTTCAAGCTGATTTATATTCCCATTTCCCAATTCCCATGTACGAGTTTATATCCGGAGTCTAATGATTTACATCAAGCTGATTATGGATTGAAAAAAGATGGTGACTCATGAATAACTTCAAAAAAAGTTGAGCTTAACACGATATAGACGAATCAAACTTGAAATATCTATTCATAATCCATCGTTAAATCCGGTGGGTCCCTATGCATTGTTGGCTCATGTGCAAATTTCCATTCTTTTTTCTTTATTTATGGGAGTAATTAAATGCAGGTACGTTCCTTTCTTGCAATGAGAGGCACAATACGCCATCTGCTTTTGTAGTTTTGTTTGTTATTTGTCCGGCAGATTTACCACGGAGGGCTTGGATTGATGCTAATCTAACAACATAAGGATATTCAAAGAGAAAATATCTAAAATAGAACAAAAAAAACATTTCATCCTGAATTCTAATGGGACCAGACTGATCAGTAATGTTTTATTTTGCATAAAAGATTCATTGACTTCCAAAATAAGAAATTTTAGTTATTATATTCTTATATTAGAGGGATACATAAGTCAGAGGATAAAAAAAAGTCAGAGGATAAAATATATGGAGTAGTTAATTTCACAGCAAAAAAATAGGAAAAATTGATACTAATAATCCCAACTATTGGTCGTCCGCTTATAATAATCCCAACTATCGATTATTTCAGAATAATCCCAACTTTAGGGACTTTCCGCTAATAATGGTCCGACATCACTGGCTACCCTTTCCGCAAATATCATATTATAATGATTCGAGCATAGTTTAGATTATTAATAGAATACGCTTAGTTTCTATTTAAACTTGAGATGTTATATCAGATAATAACCGGTCATGAACCATTATTGGCAGATGGTCCATAGAGTTGGGATTATACAAAAATAAGTAATAGTTGAGATTATTATTAGCGGACCGACAATAGTTGGGATTATTGTTTTCAATTTTTCCAAAAAATATAGTTAAATCTGCGATGATAACTCCGGTTCCCATTTTAAAAATGGGGTAAATATTACATAGTACAAAAATCAAAGTTTAGGATCTTCTAATGGCTGTTAACTAACTTTTGGCCGCCGCCTCCAAACTCCAACGCTGGTGGAAACCAATTGATTCGGTGTGGCTGGAAGAAGGGCGAACAACAAGGGGGAAGCTCCTTGAGTCTACTTGTGACATGGTTCAAACGCACGCAAGTTAGTTTTTGTTTTGGTGGCAGAGGTTTCGACCGAAACTAGGCAGGGAGCAGGGGACCGATCTTGGCACTCTGGCTTAGTTTTTGAGGTATTTTCGATCTGTTTATTTCCGGTTGAGCTTTAGCCTCTGGCCGAGTGTTGTCCTGCGTTTCTCTATAAATGTCGTTGTTGTACAAGGGGCTCTTGCGAGCTGTAGTTTTTGTTCTCTTATTTCAATTTGTTATTGTTCTTGTTTAGCACAGTCCGTTTGATTCTGTTCTGCCGTAGAGAAGTTCTTGTCATTGTTGGGTTTTTAGTTTAATCATGGATGTCAATTGAGGAGGAAGAAAATAATGGCCTCGTGTTTGAGTCAGGAGCTCTCAATGTCCATAATGGGGAGGAAGAGAATCCACGTTTCGCTGCTGTTGCTAGAGTCATCACGAATAAACTTGTCCGTTCTGTCTCTTTCAGAGATACAATGGACATGATATGGCGTCCGAGCAGAGGAGTGAGTATTGAGCAGATAGGAGATATGTGTTTTATGCTTCAGTTGTTTCATGAGAGTGATATCTCACGAGTTTTGCAGGATGGGCCCTGGTCTTTTGATCAGAATCTAGTTGTTATAAGCAGGGTGGGAGAGAGGGACATGCCACTAGAGGTGGAGCTTAACCATGCAGAATTCTGGGTTCAAATTCACAATTTACCTCTCAGTTTTATGACTGAGACAGTGGCGATTGGAGTTGGCCGATACTTGGGGAGACTGGTAAAGATTGACGAAAGAACTCTGAAGGGGAAAAGTAAGGAGTTTGTTCGAATCCGTGTGTCAATTGATGTCAGGAGTGCCCAGAAGAGAAGAACTCAATTAAGGGAGGAATGAGATGGTTGGTTCTGGGCGCACTTCAGATACGAGAGGTTCCAAATTTATGCTTCATATGTGGGGTTCTAGGAATTGTCCCTTGAACAGCAATGCAGGACCTTGGGTGGGGGACAAACCGTATGATCCCTAGATGAGGGCAGATATGCGTCGAGGGGGAACCCATCTGGGAAATAAATGGCTTGTACCGAATTTGGGACGTGAGGGGAAGAATACTATGGAGGCAAAGGTAAGGCAGAGTCAGCTGGTGGGATGTTAGGAGAAGGGCACCGATGTGGGATGCTATTTGGTACAGGGCTTGATCTCGCGAGGGAAAGAGAAAGAAGAGAGGGTGGAGGAACCACAACAGGATAAGAGTTTAGAGGAGGGCGAATCCCGGAAGAGAAGAGCAGTGGACCTGGAGAATTTGGTGGAGGCACAAGTAAATATGGAGGTCGATGGACATGGGTCAAAAAACGAGGCAGTGGCGGTGCTACAGAATCAACACCGCCTGGAATATCATTAGGTGTTGCAAATGGGAGTCTTCCTTTGGAGGTGGCTGGACAAACCTCTTCTTCTCCCTTCCTGATGGATGGTCAAGTCGGAATGATGTCCTTGGAGGTGGTGGATCAATCCTCTTCTCCCTTGCTGGTGGCTGGTGAAACCAGAGAGTCTATTGTTATTGTTCCTTTTCAAATTTCAAATGATTGTTTTTTATTTTTATGTCATAGTAGCAAGTCCAGCAATACTGATAGTTTAGCCTACTATATTGTGGAGTTAGCGATCTGGCACGGCCTCTCGGGGCTAGCTAGTTCTATGTCTCGCTCCAGGTTTGCTCTGAGTTGTTGCTCTGTTTTGTCTATTGTTACTTTAAATATTATGAATAAATGAGTGTCTTCCTTTTAAAAAAAATGGGGTATTGTATCTAACATTCACTTGGTTGATCCAAATCATTATATCATTTTTAATTTAGATATAAATAATTCAATTAGACTATTCTGATTGGTTGATGTGGAAAAACGTATGTAACCTTAAGGGTACCACGAAATCTACCTTATTTTATTCTATTCGACCAATGCATTGATGTATGTACATTTTTTTTGGTGAAGACGTATGTACATATATTAGCCTGAAGGAGTCAAACCAATACTATAATAATGTTACCACAAAGTCATATACTCGTATCATGAATAATACGGCGTATACTTTAAAATATTCTTCCAACTTTGAGTTGGATCGCATATTTAGGTAGTAGAATAAAGTAGAAATGTATGGTTGTAGTTGTATAAGAAAAATGTGAAATGAATGTGAGCCACACAAATAATAAAAAGGTGAAGTTGGAAGAATTTTCTGCGACGTCTCAAAAGGGAAAGTTGGAAGAATTTTCTGGGTCGGAGGGAGTATATATTTACTCAAAAAATTGATATCATACTTCATCTTTTCCTTATGTCTCAAAATTATCTTAGCATTTCTTTTAAAGATTGGAAATGCTTCGTATGTAATGTAATTTCACCTTTTAAATAATACTCCGTAAATATCAAGCACAAAATTTCCACCCTATCACTAATCGTGCAATCTAAACATGAGCACAACCGTTGAATTTGAAAACCCCATTCCAAATGTAAAATCATGACCCCATATTAATATAAAACATTTAACAAAAAAACTCAATTTAAATAATTATACCGAAATCAATTGAATACTCATTAAATAATGTAATAAAAATTATAAAAATCTCTTAATATTTGATTTAAAGCAGCACAGCTCATCACTCAATCAATTTGAGTAGAACATGTTATTATTACTGACAAAAAACTTTATTTTATTGATTAGTATTTATATATGTTATTATTATGTAATTCTAATAATTCTTTAACACATTGGGGCCCTAAAAATCGGAAGATCTTGTTCTGTATTACATGTTGAACGTGCTAAAAACCTGAATATGAACGAATGAATTGAACTAGTTAAGTGGCAATTGGACAAATACATATCATTTGAGAGATACTATGTCTACGCGTGCGAAGATGTACTTTTGCTATTTATCAACTACTGTATTTGTAAAATTCAAATCACCGACATTTAAAACTACAATAAATATTTGAAATAGGGTGAACACAAAACAAAACTAATCAAGATTATTTTAAATTTTAAACCAGTTTAAAGTTTGATAAAAAGGAAAACGCAGACTATAACTATGTAAGGTGTGGAGAGCTTTTGAACCCTTAAGGTTAAAGTTAAAAGATCTATGATGGAGTTGTTCCCATCTACAATAAATCACTGTCTTGCCTAGATGAATTGTGAGAATTAAATCTCTGCTATAATTCAATATTACTCTCTACGCCCCGAAAAGGTTAGCCAAATTGATTTTATTTGTTAAATGACAATCAACTTTGATCAATGATACGATAGTATTTTTTAATACGAAATTATTTAGAATATGAAAAATATATCTAAATGATCCTTATTCAAAATATTTTCATAAAAGTATTTATACTTTAAAAATTATATAATAATTAAAACTATTGTTCAAAGTTTGTCATCATTAATCAAGAAAAGACAATATGAATCAAGTGTTTGTGTTTTAAGTTTGGATCCCTCCTTAAAAAATTCAAAAGAATTCTAGAATATTATTGAAATGTACAAGATTTTTTAGAAGTGGATATTCTTGAACGCTGTGAAGTTTTCTAATGAAATGCAAAACTCTCGAGAATTGTGTAAAATGTGTGTAAGTCTCTAGAGCATTCTAAATAAATTTGAAGTTCTCTATATTTTTCAAGAAAATTATAGAAACTTGTGAATACAATTTAGAAGGCTCTAAAAATTTAGAGAGGGATAGAAAATTATAGAGAAGGCTAGTCTATTTCTCTAGTGATTGGTATAAATAGGGTGAGACTCCTCTTTCCTAATCAACCTTGAGGAGAGCTCTTAGATGTGTGAGTCATATCCTACTAGAGTGAAGAGACTGACAACTTTCTTGTGAGAGATGAGAACACATTTTTCTAATTCCATTATACTTATGATCGAGTTATGATAATAAAATGGTTTAGTAGATAATGAGCCAAGACCCGTAAAATAAAGATTCTGGTCCAATATAATGAACCACATTAGTCTCGAAAAAGCAAAAGCAGCAATCATAGAACCTCCTAAACTATAGTATTAACACAACATATTGCTTTTGAGAAAGAAAAGAAAAACAACATCAAGTAAATGCGGCCGACGAGATCAGAAGAAGAAAGACACAAACCGCATCACCATCCGTTAATTGACATTCCAAAGAAAATAAGTAAATGCAAGATGTAAGAATGTTTTTACTTGGACTGAAATTTGGTGATCTGATCTGGTCAGGTCGAAACTGGTCTAATAATGTCTGGTCTCTGTGTATTTTTATAACTATCCAAGTCTGGTCTGGGACTGAAATAAGTCCAAGTAAAAAAACATCTAAATGAGCAAGAAATGAGATAAGCAAGAGTAGTAGAGTAGCACTGATCAAGCTGTTTCTTCAAAAAGAGTGCCATGCAAATGAAGAAAAGGGTTACATACCTGATTCATCATAAAACGTGCTATTACAATTGTTAATCAAATATGTTTAAAAAATATCTTTATTTATGTCTTGATCTGTTTATTATCCATGGCCTCTCATTAGTATGTCATTCACTCAGTTTAAAGGGTTGCGATTGTTGTCAATTTCCTAGAAGTATTTAGATTATTGACCAGCTTACTTAGTTAAAGAAGATATGATCCTTGTAAGAAAATCTATAGAACAACTGTACAAGAGCTATTTCGATTTTCGACTGGACTGAAACTGTAATATGCAACGATATGATATGTTTAAATATATTATAACAAAAACAAAAACCATTCATGGCTATTTGAACCGTTGGATTCAACATGGAACAGATTTGAATCATTTGATCCTTAATTCATGATTAAGGATGTTTTCTTTTGGACTGAAATTTGCTGGTCTGGTCTAATGAACGTCTGGTTTCTGTGTATTTTATAACTAAGGAAGTCTGGTCAGGGACTGAAAACAGTCCAAAAGAAAACATCCTAAGCGCATGTCAAGGTAAAGCTGAAATCTTATATGGATATTTTCTAGGTTTTGGTAAACTTATAGTACCAACTACCAAATACCAATATGGAAAATCTGTTTGATTGACGTCTATATGAACCATTTGAGAAATATCAGCAAAAGAATTGTTATTTTCATGAAAATATATAATAAATTTATTACAACCCTTTTTCCATGTTTCTGTTTAGCTATGTAATTGACCTTAGAGCGTGCAAGTCATTCTTATCATTTATGTGATGATGAAACTCATAAACTCAGTTGACCTTATCTTCTATCTTTGTATGTTACTACAGGTTTGTGACGACTCATGAATGTTTCCCACTTCCCCGCAACACACCATTGTTACCTTAGTCAAAATAATATTAATTGTTTGACAAAATCGTCTCCTTTATTAAACCCTGCGATCTCTAGCCATACCTAAAAATATATCCAGACCCAACACCAGTCATTAATACATTTTCATGTATTAAAAGTTTATGGGTTCAACACTTCATTCAAAAGTCAAAACACTTGAATGTAATTCAACAAAAATTGCTTCAAGTGCAAAAAATGTCAATAGGTGAGATAATAATCTAGACGAGAAAGATGTAATTTAACCACCCCTAATCAATGGATACACCCGAAATCACGTAAAAACATTATTAGGTGATTTTGGAGTAAAATCGGTCTACAAGCGTGATTTTGTTTAATAAGCTAGAAGAAAGGGTTAAACATTTCCTTAAACCTCAAGAAAAGGAGATACGTGGTGAAAGATGATACCAGAATCCTCTCTAAATGGGCGCGGAGATAAAGTAAATCCTCAAAGCAGGAAAGTGAAATAAATCTATCCATTTCCGAAAAGTTTGGAAATGGCTACTGCTCACTCGGCGGACTCTGAAGAGTGAATGGGATAGATCTGTAATATATCTGACCACGTCTTATGTCCATCGCTTACCTCCTTCACAACAGATGCCACCTTCTCCACACTAACACGAATCTGATCTTTACTGTCCCTCTCCCTCACTGTTACTGAAGATGATGAATCCACTGTGATAGCAAATGGGACGCCTAGTTCATCAGTTCTTGCATACCTTTTCCCTATGGAGGTACCTATTTAACAACAACAAAGCATTATTATGGAGGGTTAATTACATAAACCTTACCCCTAGATCCACAAACGGCACTAGAAGATGATAGAATAGAATGATACTAGAAGAAATTGAATGTGCCAGGCAAAACTACCCTAAAATGCATTAACACCAAATACAATATGAAGATTTGCAGTTCTTGTATAGTTGTATATACCACATTCTACAATTCTTCAAAGTTAAAAGGGCATTTTGCAAATAATTAACGACTGGTCAGGGGTGAGGGGTTTATTTGTAATTTAAAAAACCTCTCCGTCCATTTGATCATTTAACCTCCGAGAGAGGTAAATGTAATCATTAATCAACCATTGATAATATGACTGAGAAGCAAGCAACACTGCAAGTAAATTATTTCATCTAATCCAAAACAATAAAAAAATTGAATTCTAGAAAACAAGTCACTGAAACACACCTGTAATGTCAATCTTATGTGAAATCCCAGAAGCAGTGAGAGATCTAGAGATCAATTTTGCCACTTCTTCATACTGTTCATTCTGAACCAATGGGAAAACAGTACACTTGATGGGTGCAACCAGGGATGGGAAGCGGAACACATTAAGTTGTTCATCTCCAGTTTTACTAGGCCTCGTGTAGAACGAGTGCTCAAAAAGACAATATATAATCCTCCCAATTCCAAAAGAGGGCTCAATTACTGAAGGCGTGAACTTTCTTTGGTGCTCTTTCTTCTTTTCTTTTGATATGGACACCATATTC